CATAAACAAAAACTTTGCACAACAGTCTGCCCTTTAAAGCAGAAGAACAAGAACAAATGCTTGGGATTATGTCAACCTATGTTTATACAATTATGTATAAACCTCAGGCATCAGATTTTATAGAATATTTCAAAACCTAAAGGTGTAGAAGTCTCTTAGAAAGGTGAGGTACCTTTGAAAATATCCTGGAAATGTATCTGCTTTTTAAAAACTGTTCCCAAGCAATTCAGGATCATAGTCAATTATCAGCTACACAAAAACAACTACAAATAGCTATGCATTGCCATTATAAAAAAGAACCGTAGCTTAAACATGCAGATGGATTTGGCTAATGTTGCACTTTTTACACATATATAGGATCTGCTTAAATATAAGGGTAATGTTTTAAGAAAAAGCCTAATTTACCCATGCAAAAGCTATTAAGGCTTCTACAAAGCAGAAAATTAGTTAATGCATTCAAAACCTTGTTGTCTTTAAATTACACAGTAATGCTAACAGCTTAAAGGCAGTTATGCACATTTACATTTCTTCCCATGCCTGATACCACTGGTGATAAATTCAATGAAAAAATGTTGAAGATGTTTACTTAAAGTGTGGAGAGATGAAGGTGGTCACAAATAGCTTTAAATTTTATTGGGTAAATTCTGGTATCTTCAAATTTAGCTGCTTAAAGTCTGTCAAACAGAAATGAAAAAAAAAACCCTCATTCTACAATTCAGATATACTTTTAGTCAAAATTTCCCAAGAAAATTGATTAGATGAAACAGGAAAAAGAAAAAGGATTACTAAATCTAGGCAATGAATTCTTTATGAAGTATTTTTAAGGCTTCCTCTTACAAGAGTTTATAGTCTCAATCTACTTCCTGAGCTCCTATCTTAGTCTGTGCCAAGGTGGATCTATATCTTCAGTGACTGTAGCCAAAAAAATCCATCAATTTGATTTATTTTCTGTCTTTTTTCATGTTAACTGTGAATCTTAGGGGCACAAAGTGCTATCCCCAAATATCCTGTAAAAAGCAAAAGTGCAGAAAAACAAAGAAGCAGAAAAGCTTTTTGTATACTCAGCATAACCATGACGAGAAGTATCTCCTTGGGCTACTGCCATTATCCTAGCTCTGCAGCTGACACCAAAATAGTACAGTAACTGGAGACACATAAATATCATGGATAATTATATTCCCTTTAGTTAATTCCAAAAGCACAGCCACACTTTTGAAATGTCACAGTGGCCCTGGTAAATCAACACTTTCATGTGTTTGACTGTGCTATGATGAGTTCCAGGTCAGCCAGGGCTACCCTGCGGCTGCCCCAGTCTCACCCTGTCCCAAGAGGTCCTGCTTATCACAGCCAGTGAAAGAGCCCCTGCAGAGATAGAGTACTGGTTCCTTTAGCTGCATCTACACATACAAACTCTTTCTAATACCTTGCTGGTTCATAGAAAATTGTTTCATTGACATTTGCTAAAATTTGGGGGTTTTTTTGCTGAGTCAGTTTCCCTTAAAATAAAGATTTGTTCACATGAACATCAGTAGTTAGTCCAAGTGACCTCATATTCGTTATCCTCTTTGGGGATATTCTATGTAAGCTAGCTTGCATATTTTCTCTTTCTTCTAGATTTAGTTCCTTGTACTTCATATTTCTTTTTTAAGAAAGAGCAACATAATAAACCCCTATTTTCTCTTAAGTTACAGGATGTCCCAAACTCCTCTTTTTATTTTTAATCTCAGACTTAGTGCTGTATTTAGTCTCAATTTTATTTTTTCTGTTAAAACATTTTTGTTTTAAAATATAATGCTTACTATTTTGAAATAGAAGCAGGTAGGATGAAATATTTTTTATTCGCAAGGTCAATATTTGTTTATCTGTGGGGCACAGTTTAACAATGAGATGAAAATGGACCATAACTGTGAACATCAATTAGGTAAATTTTTTGATGGCTTCATGTCTTTATTATTGAAGGAAGGACTTCATAGATGAGGTGGTGACACTAACTTACATAATTTTAAAACAAATATTACTATCAGGGAAATGTGTACGCACAAATTCAAGGGTGATTATAAGATTTCATTTAGAAACAAATGAAAAAAAGATGAAAGCACCTTCAAAATTCTAATCAAGATGAAGCTAGTTGTATAGAAAGTACGTTAATATTGAAACATATAATCACCTTAATAGGTAACAAAAAGCCACTTGCTTTGTCTTGACTACAGTTTCAGAAAGCATTAGTTGTATCCAGTCCTGCACCAAAAAAGCTTTTGGCTGCACTGCAAAATAGGGATTTGAATGCAAACTGATACAGTAATTTAATTCCAGAGTATGTTTTCTTATTGTGGTTAGCTACCTATTTACAGTTTAGCTGTGGGAAAAATAAAAATTAATTAAAAAAACCCCACGTTGTACATAAAATTATAGTTCACATAACTCTTCCTGCATATAAAATTTAACTGTACCTGTATATCATACTAGTATACTTAGCAAAATCTTATATATAGACCATTCTTATATGAATACCTTTATCATCTTGTGTAATAAAATATATAAGTACATCACTACAATGAATTGATAAAGGCTTTCTATCAAAATGTGGAATAAAAAAAAAATGGAAAAAGAAAAAACAAAAAAGTATAAAGAAAAAATGAAAGAAGGAAAAAAAGAAAAGCCAATGTTAGTTCTTTTAGCAACATAAATGACGCTTGCTGAAATATTTCTTGGCCAGAACAATCGCATCTGTTTTTGCCAGCATAGCAAAAGCTGAATAGATTTTTGTTTGTTTTGGTTTTTTTCACGCTTTATCTGACATATGTCACAAAACTTACCAGAGGAGCCCACTCTAAAGGCTTCACAGGGTCTTAACTAGGATAGCTTATATCTCTACTACTCCTCTTCCTTTACTCCCTGTATCTGTTCCTTATGCTTCCAATTTGTTTTAAACTTGAGTTTTGCTTATGTTATAACCATGATCTTAGGGTATGTATTTTGGTCAGTATTTTTCTTTAATTATTAATTTTTTGTATTATCAAGAGAGTTTTATAAGGCAATAGAAACTGAGATTAGTAGATTTGTGGTTCTTTATCCTGCAGGAATTGCCTCCGTACTGGTAGTGTTTCAAGAGACATGTTTCAAGTGGTACAATTCTGGGAGCTGGCAAGGTTTTACATAGCTCACTTGGCAAAAGAGCAACTTACCGCAGGGTAAGAGTGTGAAATTACAGCAACCTGGTAGCTGCCAGGTGCATGTTCTTATCCCACAGAAAGCATGGTGGAGCTTTCCTCTTACCTGCCAGCTTGTCAAACAAGGCATTGGGCCTCAACATGCAGCATGCACTGGATGTAAAAATCTTACCGATAGAAAGAAGAGCAAACACCGTAGATGAGAAATCTTCAGTTATTACAAGCAACTACAAAATTGCTGGGTTTGTAGCTAACTACAAAGAGGAATGTGAACCAGACTCTTTAGTTACTTACTTATAAACCCTATACTCACCTCTCAGCACACAACTTTTATCACACTTCTTATGTTTCATCAGTGCCTTTGGCCCAGAAAGTCTCCTGAATGCACAGCAGCTTAAGCAGTCAAATGCAAAAGTCTTTACTCAGGGGTACAGAGAAGTAGCAAGAAAACCAGCTGAAAATTAGAAAATGCTCATACAAAGTCTATTCCCTTCTATAGGTAATACCTTCTCACTCTGCCAGCTCCTCCACATGTAAATCACATCAGTTTACACTCCATTTCACTGACTTATACTCTAGTAAGCGAATGTAAGTAGGCCTTAAGGTGTCTAACTGGGCATAAAGGACACTAAATTACACATTTTAAGTGTCACCTCTGAACTTAGCTCATAGGTTTTAAACAAAAGCAGAGTAATAAATTGATAGTTTGGAGGAGGGAGGACACAAAATGTATGTCCATTTTGGTTTCTTGAGGTTATCACTGTATTTAATCAAAACTAATAAAAAGGTCCTGAATTTTTACTTGAAACCTTATTGAACTCAAATTGAGACATGCACTAAACTCTTTAAGCAATTATCTAAGCAAGTAACAAAAATAGAAAAACATGAAGACACTAAATAAATCAGATTTTGAGTTGTTTTTTCTGTTTTTTTTTTCCGTTTTTTTTTTTCTTTCTCAATTCTGATCTACCCCTGAAAGAAAAAGTTTCAGAGAAATGTATATTATTTTCTGGTTTGGCCATTGGTCTGAAATCTCTATTGTTAAACTTCATTCTGATTTACTATCAGTTCTACAATGCAATATGCATTTAAGCAAATTGGTAATGAAATTTGTGACAAAGCTACAAAGCTATGAATAGCATCTCAGAGTCACTGAAATAGTATTTAGAAAGAGTGGAATCTATTTATTACCAAATTACTTACTCCTGAGGTCAATTATTGCTACAAACATTTAATTACATGGTGATGTAAATTTGATGAGTCTACTCAGTAGAAGCCAGGCCTGTTCTGCACTTTGAAAAGGTGAATAACAGAACTGTCCCTCCATCATTCCAGTTAAAATTAATTGGTCTCTTGGAAGTCTAGTTATACAAAATATGCAAATTCTTTGGTTCATCTTCCCCAGAATATTATCTCCATTAACTTAAAAATGTACTGCGAATGAGGTTTCTCAAAGCAGAATAAAAAAATAATGTGACTTACTTTACTAATGGGAAAAAAATCCTGAGGGTTATATCTTGTTAAGGAGGGTTTTTGGAGTGTGGTTTTTGTTGCTTTTTTTTTCCCTGAGCTAGGGGGAGAGTTTCTTTAAGGTATGGTGTGGAGCTGAAAGGGAAATAGTATTTAAGCCAAGAAAGCTGTTATTATTAGTTCTCTGCATCCACAGTTTTAAAAACAGATTCTGGTACTTATAAGAATGGGGAATTGCATTCCTCTGTGACTTCCTCCCTGATAACAAGTTAATTAGATGCCAAGTGCTAAATTCAGGATTCAATGCATTCAAAGGGGCACTTACAAAAGCAAAAGAATTTGGCATCTGAATAGCCTGTGTTTACTTCTGGAAACATTTGTTTATTTTAGGGCTTCAAAATAATGACAATCTGCAGAATACAGCACTAACATTTTAGAGCACATATTTCCTCACAAAGACCTTTTATTTCAGTTTTAATATAATTCATATATTAATGATAATTATATGCCAAGTTCACCCTGCCAGTGCCACCCTGCTAGCTATGAAATCGAAAGACTCACTTTTGTGCATTTGCTGAACCAAAAATTTTCTTGAAATCCCTTTGTTGAAAGACTGCCCAGTGTTATGAATGACAAAATCTTTTGGTCTTCATACAGGCAACATTTTCAGTAAAATAAAAGACAGCCCATTAATTTACCTTTAGTTCAAATCACTTCAGCCAGTCAGTTAAGAACAGTTAGGGGAGAGACTTTGTGAGTGTCAGAACCAGAAAGACCCAATGAATCAACTGCATTCTTGAAACACAAATGTTGCATATGTATCTGTCTTGTAGTGCCTCTAACAATAACCTGAAGGAGGTGATGAAGTGCCCTTTCTTCAAGTTTGCAGGTGACACCAAGAAGGGGGACAAACAGTTGATACGGTTGAGGGTGGAGGGACCCAGACCTGCTGAAAGAATGGGGCCAACAGGAGCCTTATCAAATTCAGCAAAAAAAATGTAAAGTCCTGTACATGGGAAATAGAGCCTCTTGCAGTGTTACAGGCTGGGAATGTACTGGTTTCAGGCAATTCTGCTGAAAAGTTCATGGAGGTTGTAGTGGCCAACAAGCTGAGTAGGAGTCATCACTCTGTACCTGCAACAGCAAGGGCCAACTGCATCCTGACCTGTAGGAATAAGAGGAGAACACATTCAAGAAATCAAGAGAATTGTTTATTCCTATTTATATTCCACTCTTTAGAACACTATAAAACTACTTTGTCCAGTTTTAGCCTACTCCACATAGTAAAGACATTGAAGAATGATAGAATTATTAAATCATAGAATCACAGAATGGTGACTCACAGAATCACAGACTAGATATCATCTAGTTCCAAGCCCTGTTGCTGTAAGCAGGGATGCCATAGACTAAATCAGATTATTCAGGGCCACATCCAGTGATGAACACTGCCAAGGATGGGGCATCCACCCTCACAGTAAAGAATTTATTCCAAACATCTAACCTAAATCTCTCTTCTTTTTGTTTAAAACCATTTGCCCTTGTCCTGTCACTATCCCCTCTATTTCACAAGCACCCTCTAAGTATCTAAAGCTTGCATTGAGGTCTCCCCAGGAGACTTCTCCAGGGAGAACAACTCCAGCTATCTCAGCCTCTCTTCACAGGAGAGGTGCTCCAGTCCTCTGATCATCTTTGTGGTCCTCCTCTGGACCTGCTTCACCAGGTCCAAGTCTTTTTAGCACTGAGGATCCCAGAGCTGGATGCAGTACTCCAGGTGGGGTCTCAAGAGAGCAGAGTAGAGGAGGACAATCACCTCCCTCAACCTGCTGGTCACACCTCTTTTGATGCAGCCCAGGATATTGTTGGCTTTCTGGGCTGCGAACATACACTGTTGGCTCATGTCCACCAGAAATTCCAAGTCCTTCTCCTCAGGGCTACTCTCCATGACTTCTTCTCCCAGTCTGTACTCATGTCTGGGATTGCCTTGGCCCAGGTGCAGCACCTTGCACTTGTACCTCATTAGGTTCTTGTTTGCCCACATCTCAAGTTTTGTCCAGGTGCCCCTGACTGGCATCACATCTTTTTGTGTCAATCACACCACTCAGCTTCTTGTTATCTACAAACTTGCTGAGGGTGCACTCAATCTCACTGTCTATGTTATTGATAAATATATTAAAAAGTTACAGTCCCAAGATGAGCCCTGAGGGACACCACTCATTGCTAGCCTCTCAGGTACAGAGGTGAGGCTCCCCAGTTCGTAGTTCCCTGGGTCTTTTTTTCTACACTTTTTAAAATAAGAGTGATAGTTCTCTTTTTCCGGTCACCACAGGCTTCACACTCATGGCTAGGCTTCGCGAACGAAGATTTGGGAAGGCTCTATCCACATTTGCTGCAGGCACGCTGGTGGCTTATGAGGCCAATACGTGACAGACAAATCCAATTGCAAAAGGCACAGCAGAAAGACTCCTTAGATGGTGTATTCTGCAATACACGGTTCTTTCTGCGTTGCCTTTTCTCCTCAAGAGTGATCCTGCGTGTGTTCTCGAAGGAGACAGCTGCGTTATAGATGGTGTGTCTCCAGGCCTCCCGATTGAGGCCAGCGTAGACCCGTTATGGTGATCACTATGCCAAGGCTGCGATGTTTTTTTCAGGGAGTTCCTTGTATCTTTCTTCTGGGCTCCTCTATGCGGCGCCCGTGGCCAAGTTCCACCGTTCTACGCACGGATTTAGGGGGCGTGGTGGGTGGTCCTCATCCTGGAGAATGACCTGCCCAACGCAGCTGTGTTCTCATCAGCATGGCCTCGATACTTGTGATAGCTGCTTGCTCTAGAACAGATGTATTGGTCACATAGTCTGACCAGTGGATGTTTAGAATTGTACGGAGGCAGCGTTGATGGAAGCGTTCTAAGAGACGCAGGTGGTGGCGGTAGATGACCCATGATTCAGATCCATATAAGAGAGTAGACAACACTATGGCTTTGTAAACACTGATCTTGGTGCTTTTCTTCAAGTGTTTATTACGCCATACTCTTTTATGGAGTTTTCCAAAAGCACTATATGCCTTTGCTAATCTGTTGTCTATCTCTCCGTCAATCTTACCATCTGAGGAGATGAGGCTACCGAGGTAATTAAACTGTTGGACTGATTTGAGCTCTGATTGACCAATGGTGATGTGGGGATGATGGGGGACATCCTGAGGTGCTGTCTTCTTTAGCATGATGCTCCAAAGGGCCACAGCAGACCTCAATGATCAGGACGGTATCTACATTCGATACCGTACTGATGGAAGTCTATTCAATCTAAGGCGACTGAAGGCCCACACTAAGACCTTAAACCATCTTGTCCGGGAGCTGCTTTATGCTGATGACGCCGCCCTTGTTGCCCACACAGAAGCAGCTCTGCAGCGTTTAACATCCTGCTTTGCAGATGCTGCTGAGCTCTTTGGTCTGGAGGTCAGCTTAAAGAAGACAGAGGCTTCACACTACCACCCTGACTTTTCGAGTATCATGAAGAGTGGCTTGGCAACTATATCAGCCAATTCCCAGAAGACATCAGGATGGATCTCATCAGGCCCCATAGACTTGTGGTTATTCAGCTTCATCAGGTGGTCTCAAACCTGTTTTTCACTTACAGTGGGAGGCACTTCTCTCCTCAGCCTTCATCTAGAAGTTCAGGGACTTGAGAGACATACGAGGGTTGACTGAGGAGAAGAACTCGTTGAGTACCTCAGCCTTCTCCGTATCTGTTGTCTCCAGTTCTCCTTCTCATTTATCAGGGGGGGTACACTCTTCTTGGGCTTTCTTGTCTTATCTATGTATTTATAGAATCTTCTTGTTATTCCTCACATCCCTTGTCAAATCCCATTCAATCCATGCCTTAGCCTTCCTAATTCCACCCCTATACACTCAGATGGAGAAGACTGAGTCTGCAGAGGGGACCAATGTGATTGGGGACTGGACCCCTTGTCCTGGAAAGAGAGGTTGAGGGACCAGGTCTTGTTCAGCCTGGAGAAAAAGGTGGTCTCAGGGTGCTCTAACACCTGCATGGAGGATGTTGAGAAGACAGAACCAACCTCTTCACAGTAAAGCATAAACTGAAAGAAGAGTGATTCTCATAATATAGGGAAAAACTTTCTTCCAAAAAATGCAGTCAAGATTAAATAGGTTGCCATTGGAAGTTTTCCTTGGAAAGTTTCCTTTCCTTGGAAGTTTTCACATTCTGACAGCATAAAACCCTGAACAACTTCATCTGACAATGAATTGACCCTATATTCATCAATGTGTTGAACTAGAGGGAAGAAGTACTGTAGTAACAGAGAAAAGAAAACCTCTGAAAGAGAAGAATTATCCCAAGTGTCGAGTTGTCAAGGATTTTGTTCTGAATGTCTATATCACTTGTTCAAGGTACTACTAGAGTTAATACACATCAATCTGAATAAAATCTACTCTTACTCTTTCATGCTAATTTCCACCAAGGAAAACAAGCTATTCAGCACATTTTGGAATGACTATGTCAAAAGCTTTTGTGCTAGCCAAGCTGTACCTAGTGGCCATGAACTTCGTAATATCTTTGTCCATCAGAAACATATTTCATAAATATTTGTGATCTCTGATCTCAGAGATCTGGTTTACTGAATTTATATTAAATGTACCTCTTTCCCTTTGGTTTTGTCACATTTGGGTTTTTTAAGTGTGAGTTATCTTAATAAGCAAGCAAATGAAATTAAGGTAAAGCCTTGTTTATGGCTTTTCAGCCTATTTCTTTTCCATTAGAATGAAGGAGGGGATTATTTAAGAGGTTAGGTAGTAATTGCTGAAAATTCGTATCATGCACCATGAGTCTACCAGGTAAACATACTCAAGAAACTCATTTAAACATCCTTAATAGTAATTAGCCTATTTCTCCCTTAATACTATGAAACTATTATTGGAATGCTTTAAGAAATGCATTTTATTCATCCAATAAACCATTATTCTACATTGTGTAAATACATATCCAGTCATGTAATGATGTTCTTCTATTTGCTCATATTGTATATTTTACACTTTTTTGAACTCTGTTTACTTTTCAGCTACAAGTCCAGTATACCTATGAAAAGCAATGGTAAACCTGGAGATTGCTGCAAACCTCCAGAAGTGTGCACAAACTTCCAGTAGGTACACAATTAATCACTGGATCTGCTGATATCACTGCAGCAACTTGTTCATAGTTCAACTTTTTGCTTACCAGTGCCAAAAATACTGGCATACTGCACCCATATGCATGTTTTTATGAGATCTAAAACTAATGCAGTTGCTACCAATGTAAACCCTTTTCTGAGATGTGGAGGATGCAGAACATCTGCTATCTGCTTTGCAGCAGGTATAACTGAAACTAAGGATTACATCAGTGAGAACAACAGCCTCGTTAAAAGAAATTCAGAATGAAAGGGTGAAGGACTATCTCTGAGAAAATATCAAACCTTTGCAATATCATTTATGTGAGTCTTTTCCAACTTTTAAGAGATGATATCACCAATTGCTCTGAAAATAGCTACTGCTCTTAAGTCAGAAACAAAACACAGGAAAAGCAAGCAGGCAATCAGACTGATGTCATTTTTATGACTTGAGAGTTCAGGGCCTTCAAGAAAACTTGAAGTTTTTGGGGTTTCAGCACAGCAAGACATCTACTGCCACCCATGACGACTTGTGATTTGTATGGAGTCTTTTGAAAGAATGGAGTCCATGAGGGTTTACCTTCAGCTAATCATTGTCTTCTGAGAAGATAGGAGAGGGGGAATTTCCATCCTGATAATACCTAGAGACTCCTTCCCCACTCAACATTTAATGATTAACCACTGAGTAAGACATCCACAGTAGATGCTCTGTGATTCACATTGGTTTAAAAAGGGCGTTGGTCTTTGAACACTGTCCAGACAGCTTTGGGATTTGTAAAAGGCTGTCATATAATTTGACAATTTCCAATAACCTCAGCAAGAGACAGTCCTGTGGTGAAAGGATCCCTTTACAGAGCACTAACACCAGGTAAGTAATGGAAAAGACTGTGTCGACATGTTCATCTGGAGTAGGACACGTCAGGAAGTGATCTTTTGTCTTCTTAGCACTTCCAAAATCATATCCCAGATGTACGAGCTGTGCAGGGTGGGATGGGAGAGTGTCTGACCTTTTC